AGCGTTTTTCAACGCCCCTGTCGTGTGTTTTCAATTGTTTTCAATGGGAGCGCCGTGTTTTTTAAACGCCATGAGTGTACCGAGGCGCTGAGCGTTTTTTTTTCACGCTGAAGCGCCGAGCGTTTTTTACTGGTCGCTGGGAGTTGAAAATTGTTCAACTTTGGATAAAACGCAGCGCTCATCACTGTCACATTTTACCCAGCCGTCCAATCACAGTGGAGGAGGGGCGGGACTAAACCACACCGACCAACTGTCACAACATTCAAACGTCTTCAGAAGAGCGTCTAGCGTTTTCAGCTGGCTAAAAACGCTTTGGTGGACACACGGCCTTATCTGAGCATTGTAAGTGTAGTCTCGCATAGCCAGACTTTGATGGGAGAAGGTCTGCAGCTTTTAACTGCTTAAACATATTTAGATATATCGAAATCTATATCTAAATATGTTTAAATTTCACTGTGAAAGGTAAAACTTTCAAAATCTGTGTAAACAATGAGTGACGTACACACGCAAGAGATTACTTATTACGTCACATGAGCAGACCGAAGCGCCCGTGCCTTCAGATCACTTGCACGTGGCTGTGATTACAAGAGGTAAAAACGATATAAATACTAGGGGTGTGCAAAAAAATCGATTCACATTTGAATCACGATTCAATCTTTACCGATTCAGAATCGATTCATAGAATTCCAAAAATCGATTCATAGGCTATATTTTTTAATGGCGTGCAGGGGCGGAGTGGCAATCGGGTGAGTCGGGACTTTTACCGGTGGTCCGGTAGTGTTTCTATGGTTTCGAGGCTGCGAGGGCCGGTCTGATAAATAGTTATTGCAAGTTCTTGCCGCCCGCTGGTCAAACTGTGCAGCCACTCTGCTCAACCCGTAAATAAATGCATCGATCCGCAGATCTTATGTTTGAGTTCTGTAGATCTTTTGCCAAGCGTGTCAGAGGTTACGGGCTCTAAACCGCACTCGTATAGTTTTTTCTCTCTCATCAAAACCGAATATGTTCATCACGTTTGTGTGCATTTTATTTTGTGATTTCACCGGAGTCTCCACAACGGCGATAGATTGAAGCGCGCGTCCGAGAGAAGACTGCGCGAGCCACAGAGAACACTGTATCCATGACACTGATCGCAGCGGACACGAGCGCTCAGCTTGATTTCAAAAACAACAGGTCTCTTATTTAATAGCGAACTAAATGAATGCTCTGCTAACTGGAGATACCCGCAAATTATGCGCCTATGAACGACTTCACTGGATCTAAACAAATCAATCTAACCATAGATGTTACCAGTAGCGGTGGCTTTTTAAAATCTATTTAAAATATTTTCGCAAGGGTTCTATGACATTAGTATATATTTTTAGGAAGTTCAATGTGCCCAGTCGAGTTCACATTTCAACAGTCAACCTGGTAGCTGAAGTAGGCTCCTTAAACCACATTTAGCATAATTGTTTGTTTGATCTGACTACAGCACTTTAAAGCTAAATGTAAAAGCTTTTTATTTAAGTTTTATTTTAAACTTGAATTAAATGTATTTAAAAGCTGGCCAAAGCTTGGCACTTCGCACTTTTTAGTTGCAAAAGTTTTTATTTTTGAATGAAGACATATAAAGTAATATCAAACTTTTCTTTTAAATTATGTCTACTGCAATCAATCACATAGGAAAAAGTAAACTACATTTATATAGACCTGCGAATCATTTTTTGAATCGAAAATCGATTTTGAATCGAATCTTGAGACACAAAATCGGTATCGAATCAAATCGTGACATTTTCTGAATCGTGCACCCCAAATAAATACTGTTCGTTTTCTCACACAAACCGCTCGTTTCGTGTATTAGGCCATCAATGTGTACTTACATTTACGAGTCAATAAATCATTTTTGTTTGTTTTTTAGCACAAAAAGTATTCTCGTCTCTTGATAAACTTATACTTGAGCCACTGTAGTCATATGGAATATTTAAACATTTTCTTCGTTGACTTTCTGGGCTGTCAAGTTTCAATCCCTTAGGCAGTCTATGGAGGAGTGATCCACCTCTCAAATTTAATCAAAAACATCTTCATTTCTGTTCCGAAGATGAACGAAGGTCTTACGGGGTTGGTACAGCATGGGGGGTGAGTAATTGATGACTTAATTTTCATTTTTGGGTGAGCTGAGCCACTCTAGTCAATTTTAACTTTTCGAGGCCGGCAAGTTTCAATCCCTCAAGAAGCCTATGGACTAGTATGGAGGAGTGATCCAGCTCTCAAATTTCATCACAAATATCTTAATTCGTGTTCTGAAGATGAACGAAGGTCTTACGGGGTTGGAACAACATGAGGGTGAGTAAATACTGACCGAATTTTCATTTTTGGGTGAACTATCCCTTTAAACTAAGACAGGACGTTTGTATATTTGGTCTCCAGCTCTGCAAAGTCTTTGTTCCTATGGGTCATATCTCTGGTTCAGACAGATCTTTAGAACCCACAGCTGCTGGATAGCCACAGCATAACCAAACATCCCTGTATCTCTGTTTTATAACGAAATCCCCTCTCATTCCCACGGTAAGCCAGCTGGAGCAGATTTTTCCTCGTTGCCGTCTTGTCTGCCCCATGGGCTCGTCCTGCTCACAGGACGCAGTTTGATTGGGCAGTGGTCAGGGGAACAGAGATTAGTAACTGGATATATAGAACAGGGGACTGCTGGGAAGACTCCCTGTCATCCGATGAAAACCTAGGACTCCGCGGTAGCGATACATGGTCAAGACGTGAGCCGCAACCTCTGCTGACAACCCGTTTGTTGCGACCGCGCATCGTTCAGACCCCTCATTTGCCTGCCACTCTCTCTGTGTGCGACCCGTTTGGCTCCTAGTCGTTTTGGCCTGACAAAATAAGGGGCTACTTTACCACCATGGAGAGATGTGTCTCTACTCATGGCAGAGAGGAGGGACCTGCCATTACGAAAGGCTAAAAGAGACCTTAAATGGCACATCATATCGGAACTTCGACACCAGCTCATGTGGGGACGTGGTAAGAGCTACTTGGCAGCTCACTGGTGTGGCCGGTCATAATTAGAGTGTGAATAAAGAGGAACCTCGAGGGGAAACTGGTGCCATGAATGAGGCTCTGGGAATCTCGACTTCTTAAGCCGTCGGGGATGTTCTGGGACCGGGATGTTTGCGGGCAGAAGATGTCTCCCAGATGTCCGGCTCCGTTGTAACCATATTCACCCTTTCCACTTTGAAGGGACATTCACTTCATGTTGCCTAAACGAATGAACTGTGAAACAACTTTTTGTTTACAATATCTCTAGGTCAGACTGTTTTTAGCTTATGGGTCTCCACATGAGTGGCTCATTCAGAAGGAAACGTCTATGCTGTGACTGGCCATGTGTAAATGTTCTTTGAAGAGTTTTTAAGTGCTTCCCCTCCCCAACATGAAACATTGTTGGAGCTACAAAAGACCCACCTGCCTCACAAAAGACAAGACGGGATGAGGAAAGATGAGAGAGGTCAAGAGAGGTCAGACGAGATTTGGTGCGCTCTGCACTTTGACTAAAGAGGAGGAAGGGCAGGTGCAGTGAAGAAGATGGAGGTTTTACATATTAGTGAAGTGCTTGGGTCAAAGGTCAATCGCAAATCAGCCATGTTGGGATTAATTTGCCAGTTTAAGTGGATTATAATCAAACAAAGAGATGCATTTAGACTTGATAAAAATGTGTTTGGTGATTCCTTGAACTGTCTAATGTTGGGCCCTATGATTTCGCAATCATGGAATTCAGTCATAAACAAAATGTCTGTGAATATTCTTCATTGTTTCTGTACACAAGTGTGCGTGAAGTTCGAGGAATCATATATAAGGACATGAGAGTCACTTCACCATTTCACATAAGAAAAAACAACCATTATACACAGAAACCCAAAGATCTTCACAACAAGTTCAGTTTAAAGGAGTAGTTCACTTTAAAGATGTCCATGTCTTTCTTTCTTCAGTCGAAAAGAAATTAAGGTTTTTGATGAAAACATTCCAGGATTTTCTCCATATAATGGACTTCATTGGGAACCAAACCATTCAAGGTCCAAATGAGAGTTTCAGTGCAGCTTCAAAGGGCTTTAAACGACACCAGACGATGAATAGGGGGTTTAATCTAAGACCCTTCGAGTCATGACTCAAAAAAAGATTCGTTCATTTTGATGAACGAGTTCGAACAGGAGAGTCACGAACGCTCATCACAGAACAGAGCAAGGCGAGCATTTGTGCTTATAAAACGTAATTCGCTTGATAAGACCCTTATTCATCGTCTGGTGTCGTTTAAAGCCCTTTGAAGCTGCACTGAAACTCTCATTTGGACCTTGAACCATTTGGTTCCCATTGAAGTCCATTATATGGAGAAAATCCTGTAATGTTTTCACCAAAATCCTTTATTTCTTTTCGACTGAAGAAAGAAAGAAATGGACATCTTGGATGACATGGGGGTGAGTAAATTATCAGCAAAAGTTTTTTTTTTTTTTTTAAGTGAACTACTCTTTTAACTTTAAGGGATTGTGAAAGAAGTGATAATTAAAACTTTAAGAAATTATCACAATTTTTCTTCTTTGTTTTAATTTTAACAGTAAATCATTTTGCCCCTCCAATATATATATATATATATATATATATATATATATATATTACATTTTAAAATATTAATAAATTGTTTTTGATTACTACCTTTTTCATAATAGATTTGTATTAAATCAGACAATTATTTTAAATAAATAAAATGTTTTATAAGGCCCTATTATTGCAATCGAAAAAAAAAATCTAATTCAATTGATTACACATGCTTTTTATTAATTAAAACATGTAATTAAACTATTAAAATGGAATCCAGAAAACGTTTTAATGGAAAGCACTAGAATTTGGGGATAATAAAACTAAACTTTTAATCGATTGTTTTATGATTCTCTGCACAATCACATTACACAGACAAAAGATCGTCCCGCCTAATTACATTGAAAAAGAATAATTAGCAAAAGATGTTTGTTTTTATTTTTATTTTATTTTTTTACATCCTCCTGTGGATGGATTTACCAAAATTATGAACAGATATATTGACAAAACATTTGAATAGACTCACAATTTCATAATGGACTGCAAAATATAAAGATTTTTTGCATCATTTCATAAAATGCCACTGAAATTACAAATACATTGAGCATTTAACAATGAACAAAACATACACGCGCATATATCCATAGAAATTTACGGAAATACCTGCACCAAAAAAAAAAGGAGGGGGAAGGAAAAAAAAACAAAGGCAAAAAGGAGAAAACCCTGCTATGATATTCAATATTGTAGAAAAACAGAGGACAAAACATTTGTCTCATTTAAAACACATATACAGAAGAGCTCAGTATTCTTACTTCAACACTGTAAACATCATTTAAAGACAGTGTCATAGTTCTTTCTTTTTTAAATCCAATTGATTTTTTTAACTTCCACTGTCAATAATTCTCTAGTCCATCTAAATAAATCAGTAAAGAAATGTAATTTCTCGAACAAATCTGTGCTTAAAGACTTTCCCTCAAAAATGAAGCACACTTTACATTTCCCAAATGAGTGGACAATTATCCTTTACAAGTTTATATGATTTGACTCCTCTTAATTAATTCAAATGATACTGGTTAGTGATAGTTTGTTCATGGATTGTTTTCCCCTCCGCCGCTGTATAGCAAGAGTCAGATCTACATCAGAAGATAAAGGCTGAATATTAATTTGAGGCACGTCCGTGTTGTCTGCTTACGTCTGTCTCCGAAAGCCATTGGTGGCACTTAAATTCAGCATGCTTTCTTGACTACACATTTCCTCCTGATTTTCTTTCAAGTTATGGCCACTTCCTGTCATTTACGCAAAGAGAGGTTTGACAGTTTGCAAAGTATCTGAAGAGTAGGTGATAAACTATGCATCCATATTTAAAAAAAAAAAAAAAAAAATTACCCATGCTTGTGTTGTTCAGTTCTTTATGATGTGCCCCGCTGACTAATTTCGAGCCGGAAACATGTGCAGCCTTAGCTTATCTTCAAATCGAGTCACAAATAATATGTAAACTGTAAAAAGTCGTGAACATAAACGGCAGGATGTTGTGAATAGTGAGTGGTGTATGCCGAGGTCGTGTGAATTTGAGCTGGTGATGAAAAGAGACAGGTGGAGGCGATTCAGTGTGTAGGAACAGAGGTCGTAATGAGGAAATCATTTAATCCCAGGATCCTTTAGAGGACAGGCAGTCACCCAGGGCTTCCAGAGAGTCCCAACACAATTCAGTGATTGCAGTTTCAACAACGCACAGGATGGTGCATAGAACGCTGCTACAAATGAATGGCCTGTGTGCGTTTGCTCATAGGATTTCTTCAGGTGAGCACCTGGGCTTTATTTCAGAGTTGATTCATTTGTGAATGAACAAATCCCTTAGATAATTTAATAGTAAATGCACCAATTTGAGCTTATGAAACTTTGAAACAAGCAAATCCAGTCTGAATTAGTCAAGACTGCACACTAAACATTTTATAATACCAATAACATATGAAAGGATTTGACCTTGTACAAGGTTTGGACGTCACTGAAACGCAATTAAGAGATAGGTGAGGGTGGAAGAAATGGCAATGGATGTTAATTTGAGCGAATGTAAACATTTTCATCTTTAAAAGTAAAATCTGGGATGTGAAAAAAAAAAAACTATGTCAGGAATGCAACACTGGCGGCCTCAACACTGTTTATATACAGAGATAATAATGTAGAGGAAATATTGTCATTTTTTGTTGTCATTTGCACGGTTGATTTACTTTCATTTAAAATGTCGTCGATAGAAAATCATTCGGATGCAGTCTGACTGCATCCGCTGTATTAAAACACCCTTAAAATTGCTGAATATTTTTATTGTCAAAGTGACATTCAGTGCTTTACGTCTATCTACCGAGTATAACCCATGATGAGTGGGGGCCATTGACAGCAACAATAACATGAAAACGTTCTCAGATTTTTAGAAGTCGACCTCTTCTTTAGAAATGACCCATTTGTTTCCTTTGAGGAAACTAGAAACACAAAACTGGCTGACCGCCAAAATCTCAGTATTTGTCATATCACAAGATGGGGTGTGTAGAAATATAATTTCAGGAACTGAATGCATTAGAAACCCATCGATAATGTACCTGCACATGCCATGTGTCATTACAAATAATCCAATAAATACAGAAATTATTGCACAGTAGAAAGGCTCCATGAATTCCTAATGGACTACTCCTCTGTTAGTTGCTGGGAAATGCGGGAAGCGTTTTTAGAACCGCAGACTAACATTTCCCTGTGTTCTTGTTTCTCAGGTGGCAGTTTGTTTTCACAAAACAAAACAAAACAAAACAAATATAGTCAAGAAAAAGGCTATCCAGCTAAACCCATAATGCAGTGCATCGGAAAGTGGTCTCAAGCTCTGTCCGACTCCTCAAGTTTGACCTCATTGGTCAACAAATGCTCTCCATGCCACTTCTTCATGTGTTTTTCCAGGGTGCTGTACACGCTGAAGGGCATGTGGCAAATATCGCAGCGGTACACCTCTTTGCCGAACTGCCCGTGGGTCTTCATGTGACGGGTAAGCTTGCTGCTCTGGGCGCAAGCGTAGCTGCACAGGTCACACTTGTAAGGCCTCTCACCCGTGTGGCTGCGCCGATGCACGGTCAGATTGCTGCAGTTCTTGAACACCTTCCCACAGTACTCGCAGGTGTCACTCCGTCGACTCTCCTTGGAGCTGGGTGGTCTCCCTGGCCCAGGACCCCGCAGATGGAGGTGAGGTGTACTGCTACCACTTCGCCCTGACATGCCACCACCCTCCAGAATTTCCCCTGGAGGGGTGGAGAAGCGCAGGCTGCCCGTCTCGGATGAAGAGTGCTCGGAAGAAGTGCCGAAAGGCGACTGCCTGGAGTCGGTAAAGCTCAGGAATGGCTCCCTTATGAAGTGGTGGGATGCAGCATAACCGGCAAGCAGCTGAGAATACACGTTTTCCGGGGATATGACGGGCACCTGCGGATGCTCCATATCCTTCTCCATCTTGATCCTCTTGGCAGTAGACCCAGAGAGGCCGGAGCTGGAAATAGGCACTGGCTTCCGGTGAAACATCGCTGAGATGGAATCTTTCGGGCCGCAGCCTCTGCCATTCACCATGGGCCGCCGGTCTCTGTCGGCGTCCCTGGCTGCCGAAACTGTGTCCATCTCCTGACATGGCCTGCTGCCCGGTGGCAGTCTCAAGTGATTGTCGAGGTTGTTGTATTGGCTTTCTGTCACTCTGTCCGTGGCCAGCAGGGGCTTCTCCTCTGGGGAGGGTCTCGGGCCATTCTCTCTGTTCCTGCTCAACTCCGAGTCCATGCTCAGGTTGGACTCGGGCCTGCTCCCATTTTGCTGTTCTTCCTCCTCTTCCTCCTCCTCCTCTTCCTCCTCTTCCTCCTCCTCCTCCTCCTCATTCTCCAATCCCTCCCTTGTGCCATTGTCCTCAGTGTTTTTCAGCCCCTCTCCAGCTGAGTCTTGCCCTCCCTGCTCAGGTGAGCTCCCCATGGAGCCTGACTTGTGCATGTGCGTCTTCATGTGGCGCTTTAGCTTGCTGGCCTGCGAGCAGGCGTGGTCACAGAGATGGCACTTGTAGGGTCTTTCGCCAGTGTGGCTTCGTCTGTGCACAATCAAGTTGCTTTGGAACTTGAAGGTCTTGCCACAGAACTCACAGGACTTGGCTTTGCCGACCTGATTTAGTGGCGATGAGGAATGGCCTCTGGATGGAACTGATGGCGGCTGTGAGGGTGTGGTTAGGAAAGGGAGAGGTTTGGAGCCAGGCTGGAAGAGAGTGGGGCTGAGCAGCCGATGCATAGGGGGTACACGGTTGGGAGAAAGAGGGGGAGTCGGGCCACCGTTGTTGTTGTTGTTGCCCGCCAAATCACGGAGACGGTCAGCGAAGCCCATGGATGGTTCAATGCCCATTGATTGATGGTTCAGCCGCATCACTCGCTCGAAAGCACTTGGATGCTGGGACAGAAGACCCATCTCCTCTGGGCCAAGGCGTTCCAGAGGGTGACGGGGTGGCGGAGGGCTTACAAAGGGCGGGGTGGATGGCAAGCGGGTGTCGATGTATCTGGGTGGTGGAGGCTCTCTTAGCAGCGGGGCACCCATGCGAAACAGTTGGAAAGGGTTGCTCCCATCACCCAGGAAACTGGCTAGAGGGGAACGGGGCAAGGCATCAGCCCCCAGTGGAGGAGGAAGGGCCAAGCGAGGGGTAAGCGAGCAGCTAGTAGGGTGGGTGTCCAGGTAGATGCGTATCCCATGGATGTTCTGCGCATGCTGCAGCAGAAACCATGCACTGGAAAAGGGTTGCTTACAAGTGGTGCAGATGTAACTGGAGGGCTCATCTCTTCCTGGAAGACACAAAACAAGTGGATGTAATTAATATATACATATTAGCTATTAACTCTCTGATCTGGTGCAAGGGGGAGGTTGAGATAGCACACTTTAATAGCTTTCCGTGTCATTTGCGCATCTGTTTGTTCTCGGTGATGGCTTTAAATGTAATCAAAGCAAAGAGTCCTCTATGGTGAGGTTCATGGATCATTTCTGTTTAAAAATTAAACAGGCAGCATGTGAAAGACATTTCATTGCGCTGCGGCGACAGCCATTTTATAAGATTGAATGAAAATTACATCACCCTAAGAGGGGAGACAAGAGCTCTCTGATAGCCTAGCGGGTTATCTACTGTGAGGCAGGGCCGGCTGCTCTCTAAAGCTGTGTCAAAGAGGATCTGCCTGGATGTGACTCACCCAGAATCTGAGTCACACTAGGGGGTTAGTGAGAGCAGGGAAGCTCCCAGAGGGCTGGAGCCTAATGCAGATGGCAGGTATCGCCCACAGGCCACAACGCATTGTGCTAATGCTAATGTCAGCCAGACGTTAATATAGAACTCCCCATTCAAAACCCCGACACCCCCACCTTTCGCTATTTCCATATGGAGATCATTCTGTGGCAAGAAAGAGAAAGAGAGGATTAAGGAAGAAAGAGAATGAAATGGAATCGCGTTGATAGGTCAATACATTGACAAAGTCAGGCACATAGTTAGCTACTGACAGTCCCCCATACGCTTATATTTTTGTGATATGATAGTACTTTGCGAACCCATGCCAATGTTCTCATGTGCTTGCTTTCACACTGAAAAAAAGAATATTAACCATACGGAGACATTGATGTCAGTTTTTTTTTATAATATAAAGCAAATCACACTGCATGTTAGTACAGATAGAAGTGTCATCTGAACTCATGCATTGATTTAGATCATGTATTATTTTCGCATGTGGTTATAAAAAAATATATGATATTTTGGGGATAATATTTTCTTTTGGTGAGGGGGATTTGACAATTCAATTGAGTAAATAGTCACCTTCATTTATATAGTGCTTTTAACAATATGGGCTATTTCAAAACAGCTTTACAGTGATAATAGGAAATGAAAGTAACAGAGATTGGTTTGATTTTACAGCAGCTCTAGAATAAAGTTATTGTCCAGCTGAAGTTAGTTTTAATCGATTCACATGACACCGTTTTGACAGAAAACCCTTAACGCGCTCCGACCCGCTCATCCGCACAGCAACACACGACTACCTGGTGGCTCGAGAACGCAAACCTTAAAATCAGTTCCCAGGTGCAAGCCTTGAAATTGTTTTCCCCCATGACCATATGTATTTATGTTTAAGGTGTGAAATTGAGGATTTGTTAAAGGAGTAGTTTAAATAAAAACTTGCTGATAATTTACTCACCCCCATGTCATCCATGATGTCCACATCTTTCTTTCTTCAGTCGAAAAGAAATTAAGGTTTTTTATGAAAACACACCAGGATTTTCTCCATATAATGCATTTCATTGGGAACCAAACGGTGCAAGGTCCAAATGAGAGTTTCAGTGCAGCTTCAAAAGGGCTTTAAACGACGCCAGACGATGAAAAAGCGTCTTATCTAGGATTTAAAAAATAATTTGTTCATTTTGATGAACGAGTTTGAACAGGAGAGTCACGAACGTGCATCACAGAACAGAGCAAGGCGAGCATTTGTGCTTACAAAACTTAAACTTTTTTATTTATTTTTTAAATGACAAATCGTTTCGCTTGATAAGACCCTTATTCATCGTCTGGTGCCGTTTAAAGCCCTTTGAAGCTGCACTGAAACTCTCATTTGGACCTTGAACTGTTTGGTTCCCATTGAAGTCCATTACAGGGAGAAAAATCCTGGAATGTTTTCATCAAAAACCTTAATTTGTTTTCGACTGAATAAAGAAAGACATGGACATCTTGGATGACATGGGGGTGAGTAAATTATGAGCAAGTTTTTAAAAAAAAGTGAACTACTCCTTTATTTCGTGGAGAGTGGTTCTTTGCAGATATGACTTAAGGTTTGTCCGAAAAAACACGTGACTGATGCAGTGAAGAGGAAGAGAGAGGAAGACACTGGACGTGTAAGTGGTTGTGTATGACATGTCCACAGCCGGTGTTTGATTTGGCTGGCCTTTAAATGGACACCTGGCAAGAGGGATTTTGGATGCTAAGAGAGTAACAGAGAGAGACAAACTAAAATACACACAGGCTGTTCATTTTCATTTTGAGGCCCTGGACAGGAGCCCAAGCCTGGATAAAATCAACAACGGACATATTCTGCACCAAAAAAAGCCTCATTAACATCCCATATTCCTCTGATGGCTGTACAGGACTAAACATAACATGGGATGGACAAAAAGGGTGAAATGGAGCATTTGTTCGTGCACTAATATATGCATTTGTGTGTGCGCGCGCTTTTGCAATTTGCATCCTATCACATCATACAAAAAAACACCATATGTTACTAAGGGACCGTGTCAGCTAACAGACAGGCAGACTTAATGACGACCAAAGACAAATTTCATCAACTTTCCAAACAAGCCAGAACGAGAGAGAGAGAGAGAAACCCATAGTGAATAAGTTAGGATATGCTAATGACCCATCAGAGATCCATGTCTTCTGACAGCAGCTTGTGTGGCATGATGGTGTGAAATTACCCATCAGGCACCTCAGGAACACAAATCTCCATCTGATCATGGTCCATTGGGTCCTACTGTGTATGTGTGCCACACTATGGAGGCCTGGGAGGGCCATGTCACAGCAAAGCGCTCCAGCCAATAAAAGTGCTCATTATAGAATCATCGCTGTTCGCTCTGTGATTCAATTTGCAGTAATTACCGCGGTCCGCGTCCATGAAACCGTTCGCTGTGGGCAGAGGTCAACTGCCAGTTAACAGAGTGTCTTTTCTCCTCTCAATGTATTCAATTGCAAGGGCCTAATAGCCTAATTTTCTTCCCTCTTGCACTTCAATAAATATTGCCGGGATTACAGGTTAAACAGCTAAATTGAGTTGTGGCTGTTATATTACAGAGCTGGCTGTTAGCGTGCATGAAGCTAACAGCTCGGCAGTAGCGTTCTCGTTGTGTTAAACAAGTGCTTGGATGTCTACGTGCATGTCTTTGTGCATGTGTGTATAGGATATGTGATTAATGACAAATGTGTGTGTGTGTGTGCGCAGAGGGGCTTTTACACTAAACTTATCCACCCTCTTGGGTTTAGTATTACAAAACCTCACGGCCAATTAGTCCATCCTCAGGGACCTCCAACCTGGGTTTAGATATGTTGATTTCAACATTTTGTGGCAATTAATTTCCTTTTAAGAGCATGAATGCAGTGACGGAGAAGTGAGGAGGAGGGGCTGGAGGGTGTTTTTTAATTATCTGCGGACAAATCTGGCAGACTTGAGAGCACTGCTGTTTCATGAGGGAAACAACATTAGCGTTAGCTACTGCTGTCTGCAGCATTACCCGACCGTGAACCAATCACTTACCGGAGCTGGACTAATGGAATAGTCATGGGATGATGTGCGAATGTGTGAAACTCGTTTGATGTTGCCGTAACGCGAGGACATATGTGTGTGGCGTAATGTGCGGCGTAATGTCACAGGGACATAGTGCGAATACGTGAAACTGTTTTGTTGTGAATCATATTTGATGATGACACAATGCAAGGATGTGTGTGTGTGCGACTCTTTTGATGATGTCACCATGCAAGAGCAATATAGACCCTTTTTCAGTTGGTAAACATGGTGACGTTTTTATTGTGGGCGGAGCTTAGGTGGAATCAGAACGATCCCTCTGGCCGCTTTGCTAACGCTAGTTAGCAAGTATCGTTAGCTTGTTGACTGGAGAAAATACGATTTTATCTTAATGTGTAAGGTCACCTAGTGTCCAGGACCGCGATTGTTATTTCCAAAAGTTATTTTTAACGGACCGAACCAGATTGGCCGACCCGTAGCCGCCTACACGCTCACTCAATGCATGGACGATCTGACAGGATTAACGTACGTTACCTCGGGTGAGTGGCCTGACTTCTACACCTACCTTATAGAGAAACCGATCATAAAGAGAATCTGAGATTTAGATGCTTATATGGTCCTGTACAAGACTTGTGTGTACGATCCGCAGTTCTGCCGAGCCAGCGCCGAGACGACGACAATGTAAAGAGTGACATTACGGTGCGACTTTTAATGATGTGAATATTTTCTAGAAATAAAAATTCCAGATTCAGCATATTCATTTTTCATCAATTCTTGCACCAAACAACACAATAAGATGACATTTAATAATAGTAACAATAATTTAAGCTCCTTATTATGTAGCCGAATCGGTGCTGGTTTGTATTAGCCGCCTCCAGTTTTCACTTTGTTTTGCCTCCAGCTAGCGCCGTGACGTAACCGTGACGTTGGCGCAAAAAGGGTCTATACGCAAATGCGAGGACAAAACGAGGGGATCTATGTGTGTGCAAATACATGCAATCCCAGACAGCAACATAGTGTCGGCCCACATCTGGGCTGACACTATGTGCTGTCTGGGATGCGTTTGGTAATGACATCGCAAACTAAGACAAGTGCATGTGCGAATCCGTAAAACGTGTTTGATGATGTTACAACTCAATGACATATGAGCATGTGCAAATGGCTGAAACTCATGTGACAGCAGCATAAGGACATCTATGTGAGTGCAATTGCATTAACGCATCTAAGTTTGTGCAAATTCAAGCAACGCGTTCTGCAATCATATCACAAAGACAAGCGCACGTACGAATGCATGCGACTTGCTTGATGATGTCACAACGTAGAGACAAATGAGCGTCTGCAATTGCGTGAAACTCGAGTGACAGCGCAAATTCTTCTCTGTGTGGGCAAAGACAAGAGCGTGTACGAATGACTAGGGTTGAGTATCGAGAATCGAGTATCGATTGGAACCGGGACTAACTTTTAGTTTTTCCCGGAATCGTTCAAAAGTTAAAATTTCGATTCCTAGTTTCGATATTCACAGT